ATTCGCCGAGTTCCTTTATGCAAATGGCTTAAGACACAAACCTTATTCTAAAAACTAATTGACGACACACAGAGAAAGTGCCGAAAAAGCAAGCATACTCTTCTCTCTCTGTTTTCATTTAAGCGACCCATGACCGAATTCAGAAGGGACTTTTCCAGATCAACATGCACATCCCGTTCATGTCAATGTGCCAGTTCATATTTTACATGGGCTGGATGAAAGTTGCCGAAGTGATAATGAATCCTTTCGGCGATGACGATGACGACTTGGAAATCAACTGGCTTATTGACCGAAACCTGCAGGTAGAAACAGTTCTAACAGTACAGCCCAGGCCATTCAAGTCGGAAAGATATTTAACGATAGGGCTCACTCTGTTGAAGAATGCTAAAGAATGCTACAAGCTGGAGAATGCTACAGAATCGCAGACTCTACATTATTTTAGTGGTTCTTTAGGTGGGTATGACAATAGCGGACGAGACCTGGGAGCCGCAACTGATTAAGGATCAGTACTGGATGGTGAAGACAGCGGAGCCAATGTACAGCGTCGATGCAGTCAAAGAGCGGTATAATCCGCAGGTTGGATCGGTCTCCAATATCAAGTGGGCCTTCACACTTGCCATTAGCATTTCAGATTTAGATCCCTATCTGTTTGATTTTTACTTCCAGTTTTATTTCAAAGTGATTGTCTAATAGATTCCAGTGTGAAAAACATTCTGTTTTCCTGCAGGCGAAGGACGAGTACGCAAATGGTGATGAAAGAAACGCCTGATGAAAACTCAGACAGCGAACTGATGGCGAATGAATACGAGGGAGGAAGGTAAGGCTAACTTAGCATGCGCTGATGAATTTCGGTGCAACTGCAACATGCTTCAGGAGCTAGTTTGAAAATCAGCCTTTTAGTTTCTCATGACACGTACAAAATATTTGCTTTGTCTTTATTTTCGTATATTCAAATTGGAAATTTTCCTGTAAAACGTGCTCTAGCAACAACAATTGGCAGTTGTCTCACCTTTCGGTCCTTTCCTACCGCGGCCATCTCCTCCTATTTTGACACAGGAGGGTCTTTTCTTTTCACATTGTACATATGGCATTTTTTATGCGTTTTGTGCTGTGTAACAGCAGTACAAAACGCATATTGTTACGGGGTTGTCT